AACAGGACATTGGAAAAGATGGGCATGGAACCCCCCAGAAGGCAGTGGCTATGGCTGCCACACAATGATGGGGACCTGGGGAATCTACCTTTGCAGATCCACTGGTTCAAGTAAATCTAGGGGAAAAGGGACAAGAAGTAGATTTCTCAGTTGACATTGGTGCCTTCTTTTCTGTATTAAACCAAGAATTCATACCAAAAGGTCAGGATTTTGTGACTCTAATGGGGGCTACTGGCCAACAAGAGAAGGCATTTTTTCTGCAACCTCTGAAACATAAATTAGGGAAGCATGTGGGCATTCATAAATATTTATGCATGCCAGGTTCACCTATACCATTGTTGGGTCGAGACCTGTTGGAGCAATTAGGGGCAAAAATAGTATTTGGTAAAACAACATGGAATTGACAGTTGGAGAGGATCAGCTAGCTGAAATCCCAAGTCTAGCCCTAATACACATCCCAGCTAAGTCCAATTTGTCTGCAGAAATAATAAATCAAGTGTATCCCAGAGTATGGGCACCTGAGGTCCCAGGGAAGATAAAGAATGCAGCCCCAGTAGTAGTAAAATTGAGATCAGGGCTCAGCCCGTGAAAATAAAACAAGTATCCATTAAGATTGGAGGATCGAAAAGGAATAAAGGAAATTATTGACAAATTTCTGAAGTAGAAATTACTAATTGAATGTGAATCAGAATGTAATACTCCCATTCTACCAATTCAGAAAACAGATGGCGAAAGTTACAGGTTAGTGCAGGATTTAAGAGCAATAAGCAAAATCACCGAGGATATACATCCAGTGGTGGCCAACCCGTGTACTTTGCTAACCAAACTTAAAGATCATCTGATTTGGTTCACCATTCTGGATTTAAAGGATGCCTTCTTCTGTCTAGGTCTAGCCAGGGAGAGTCAGCATCTGTTTGCATTTGAATGGAAAACCCTGATTCAGGAAGGAAATCTCAGCTGACATGGACAGTGTTGCCACAAGGATTTAAGAACGATCCTACTATTTTTGGTAATCAATTAGCAAGGGAACTTGAGAGTTGGGAGCTCCCAGACCCAGGAGGAGTTTTACTGATGATATACTCTTAGCACTAGAACAAAAGAAAGCTGCATGAACTGGAGATTGTGAGTCTGTTAAACTTCCTGGGTCTTAACAGATATCGAGTCTCTCAACAGAAAGCCCAGCTGATACAACAACAGGTCATCTAATTGGGATATGAGGTTTCCAGAGGACAAGGGACATTGGGGAAGGACCAAAAAGAAGCCACGTGCCAGACACCCCTGCCACAAACGGTAAAAGAACTATGGACATTCTTGGGAATGACAGGCTGGTGTTGACTCTGGATCTGTAACTATGGACTTTTAGTAAAACCACTGCAGGAGTTGATAAAAAGGAGTCAGTTCAAATTGGTATGGACTGGTGAGACATGAAGGGCATTCCAGCAGCTCAAACAAGAGCTAATGAGAGCCCCTGCACTGGGACTGCCTGACATCTCAAAGCCATTTTGGCTATTTTCACATGAAAGACAAGGAATAGCACTGGGAGTGTTAGCAAAAAAGCTTGGCCCTGTAAAGAAACTGCAGCATACTTCTCCAAACAACTAGATGAAGGCAGCAAAGGATGGCCCAGCTGTCTCCCAGCAGTAGCTGTGGTTGTCCTTAATATCCAAGAAGCCCAAAAATTTACCATGGGGCAAAAGATGAGAGTGCTAGTCTCCCACGCAGTCTGCGGTGCTTGAACAGAAGCAGAAATTGTCACCGTTTGACTCAGGTCCGACAACAATGCTCTCAATCCCCTCCCCCCCCCCACCCAGGTAGGGAAGGAGAGAGAGAAAAAGAGAGAGACTTGGCTGGACTGAAAACTAAACTACACACTCCCACGCAGTCTGCGGTGCTTGAACAGAAGCAGAAATTGTCACCGTTTGACTCAGGTCCGACAACAATGCTCTCGATCCCCTCCCCCCCCCCACCCAGGTAGGGAAGGAGAGAGAGAAAAAGAGAGAGACTTGGCTGGATTGAAAACTAAACTACACAGCTTTAATTAAAACACTAATTAATGATACAAGAACATATATACAATTATACACAGACGTATTCAGGTATGCGCAAAAGCCTCTCACCTCCCTCCACCCCCAGCAACGCCCACAGCATCTCCTGAGCTGAAACAGTCCTGAAAGATCCCAGAGCTGCTGGAGAAAGCAGAGAGTGATGAGGGTCAGGAGAGCTGGAGCCTGGGGGTCCACGGTGAGGGATGGATAGTCTCTCAGATGCTGGCCACGGAATGAAGAGAAGGGAAGAAGGAGCAGGAAGGAAGTTGTCTTCTGTGATCTCTGACCTTCCTCTGAGCTCACGTAGCTCTATGGAATGGAATATGGAATATTATACTGTGTCGCCTACACACGCACTTTTGGCTCTTGATGGTCTTGAAGACCTCTGCTGGACATTTACTTCATCATCTTCACCACTGTGTCCTTTCGGTGAACTCAGCCAAAGGGCCCAATCCTTCCCGGTCTTGCTTGCCAGAGCATCTTGTTCCCATGATTAAGTCCTGTTATCTCAGAGCTACATTCTTGTGGTTATCTACACAGAGCTCACCTCAGCACTCCTATCTTCCAGGCTAAGCATCTCACAAACTACACATTACAACAACCCTGTTTCACCATTGGTGGCCAAAGAAACCTCCCCCATGATTATGTTTGAACCCTCATCCTTGTCCAGGGGTGATGAAGAGGGCTGGAGAGCTTGATCCCAGCTCCAGCCTCTCACCATGCCCCAGCACCCCTGCAACCACTTCAAGGGGACAGGGAGGGGAGGGTCTCACATCCTCCAGGTGCAGTGCATGCTCCTGCCCACCCAAAATTGAGGTGTTTTTTTTTATTTCCAAAACAAAAAATGCTCTTCCACCCGTGCAGCCCCCACTTCATCACCAACGCCTCACTCTACACATCCACAATACATTATAAACATTCAGCAGAAGCATCCTCATTGCAGCAATGCTGTTCAGATTCAGGGCTGGCAGATTCAGCTTGAAAGAAAATGGAGAGGAGAAAATTGAAGCTGCTTCTGCTATTACCAACATGGACCGTTCTGTTCACTTTAGGATTTGTACTGTAACTGTACACATACAATGCCCCCAGAAAGACCAGTATCATAGTACCTAGGAGCACTAGGCTGATACTTATATGGTTGATTATAGCTACAGTTATGTCAATAAACCATGAAACAATAACAGCAGCTCCACACAACTGAATGCTCTTGGCAGCACACCACATGGACAGTTCCATGCTTGGAAAAAGATCCAGTAGATTCATTGCAGAAAGTGTCTGTTCAGTTTTCAACCTCTCAGAAAATTCAGCAGAGCTGTTGCCTGTTGCTATCTGAGGGATTCCTCCCACCAGAGATGGAATTTTGAATGCTCTTAATTAATGAAAATGTATAATATGGGCTTAAAATCGAGGCCAGTGTTGGGCACCAATAAAATGTTGTCACCATTCGACAACAATTCTCTCGATCCCCTCCCCCTCCCACCCAGGTAGGGAAGGAGAGAGAGAAAAAGAGACAGACTGGGCTGGATTGAAAACTTAACTACACAGCTTTCATTAAACACTAATGATATAAGAAAATATATACAATTATATACAAATATGTTCAGATATGAGCAAAAGCCTCTTGCCTCCCCCCAACCCCAGCAACTTCCACAGCATCTCCTGAGCTGGAACAGTCCCAAAAAATCCCAGAACTGTTGGAGAAAGTGGAGAGTGATTAGGGTCAGGAGAGCTGGAGCCTGGGGGTCCACGGCGAGGGATGGACGGAGTCCTCCGCGGGTGCCGGCCGGGGGTGGAGGGGAAGGGGAGAAGAAGCAAGAAGGAAGTTGTCTTCTGTGATCTCTGACTTTCCTCTGAGCTTACGTAGCTCTATGGAATGGAATATCTCTGGCCAGTTTTGATGTATGTCTAACTCAGCCTCCTGCGGGGGGGTCATAGATCTCCCTGTAGTGTCTGAGCTGGCAGAGTAAAGATGTGACCTTGGAGCCCCAGCAGTTAGAGAAACATTCCACTGTTTGTTATCATTCCTATCTGGAACGCTCTGTGACTAGTTAAAAGAAAGTTTGCTAAAGGGAAAAACATGTAAACCATTTCTTAGAAATATTACACATAATTAAGTATCAGCTGTACATATACATATATATCTATCTATCTCACCTTACCCTGTGAGGCACGCACATTTGTAGAGGAGCCATGCCCTGTGTGTCAGGCGCTGTGAATAAAGATACTGACTTAACAGTGCTTAGAGTGTTGGGTGACCTTTCTTTGTTTCACTCAACTCAGAGGCACGTGTGCATCTCCATGATGCACTTTCACTACCAGTTTCTCTATCCAAGCTGCAATGTCTTTCCACAGCTCAGCAACCCAACCAAGTTGACCTTTTTGCTGCCAGTTGTTCTGCTGTCCCTGCTTTAGCCAACCCCACAAGGCATTTGCTGCCACCCACCAGTCAGTGTAGAGATAGAGTCTGAGCCACCCCTCTGGCTCAGCAATGTCCAAAGCCAGCTGGATGGCTTGGACCTCTGCAAACTGACTCCATTCACCTTCTCCTTCAGCTGCTTGTGCAGCTGCTCATGTAGGACTCCACAGGGCAGCTTTCCACTTCCGGCGGTTCCCTACAAAACAACACGAGCCATGGGTGAAAAGAACAAATTGTTCCTCAGTCTTAGGTAAATGATCAGATGGTGGAGTTTCTTGAGCCCGTCTCACCACTTCTTGTGGTGGCATTCCAAAGTGGGTGCCTTCTGGCCAGTTTGTAATTGTTTCTATGATACCTGGAGAATTAGGTCTTCCTATTGGATCTCACTGGGTGATGAAGGCAGTCCATTTCCTCCAAGTCTCATTGGTGGAATAACGGACAGGAGAAAGGTTACTCTAGAATATGAATCTCAGCACTGGGAATCTGGGCGCAAGGTGGAGCTGCACTTCAGTGCCAATCACTTCTGAAGCGGCTCTAACTGTTCATATGCTGCAAGTATCTTCTTCTCAGTTGTTGTATAGTTGGCCTTGGAACCTCTGTAGCTCTGGCTCCAGAATCCCAAGGGTTGACCTTGAGTCTCCCCTGGTGCTTTCTGCCAGAGGCTCCAGTTGGGACCGTTGTGTCCAGCTGTGACGTAGAGCACATTCTTGATGTCTGACCCTGGGAGAACTGGTCCCAGGGCCATTGCCTGTACCATCTCCTTTTTGATCTGCTCAAAAGCTTTCTGGTGGTCAGGACTCCATTAAAGTCCCTCTTCTTTCGGGTCACCTCATAGAGGGGTTTCACAATTTCACTGTGACATGGAATGTGGATTCTTCTGGAGGTTTACAGAGGGTGTACCAGCAGCACATGCCCATATAATTTCCTTCATGGGATGCATTGAATATTATGCAAGACCAACTGTGCATGAAGTGGCTTTCAGGGCACGACACTATGGAGACATCATCTGTGATTCCCATTAATTCCACACCTCAGCAGATGAACAAATGACTGACAGAAAGAATAAGATGCCAAACAGATGGGGAGGTAAACTCCAGAATCTCCCTAGGGACAACTGGTCACAGGTTGCAGCCATTAAGAACAGACGTCCTGCTACGATACAGCAGCAAGAGTGACAAGACCCACTGCGACCCCACCTGTAGGGTCTCTTGTGAAATTATTTTAAAGAGGACATGAGAGCCTGGGTCAAGAAACCTACTGATATTCTCCAGATATGCATGCTAGACCTGCTAAACAGAACAACTGCAGGAGATAGTTCTTCCAAGAAGAATGCTGCACCAGTCTCCACCCAGGATGGTGCTTCAACCTCAGATGTTCCATATGAGAAGTGCCCTGTCTCCAGTTAGGGGAAGGAGAGTGATAACCGAGTTTACTGGACTGTGTGGATTTGGTGGCCTGGCACATTAGGACCACAAAAGTACAAAGCCCTGGTGGACACTGGTGCAGGGCGGACACAAATGCCATCGAATCATAAAGAGACAGACTCCACCACTATCTCTGGAGTGACAGGAGGTTCTCAACAACTGCCTGTTGTGGAGGCCAATATGAGCCTCACTGGTAAGGAGTGGCAAATGCACCCTGGAGTGACTGGCCCAGCTGCTTCCTGCGTCCTTGGCATAGACTCTCTCAGGAAAGGATACTTCCATGACCCAAAAGGGCACCGGTGGGACTTTGGTAGAGCAGCTGTAGAGACTGAGGACACTGAACATCTGTATACTTTGTCTGGCCTTTCAGATGACCCTTCTCTAGTGGGGTTGCTGAAGGTTGAAGACCAACAGGTGCTAATTGCCACTTCAGTGGTGCACGGAGGATAATACTGCACCAACAGAGACTCTGTGACATGCATTCATAAGCTGATCTGGCTGTTCCGAGAGCCAGAAACTGATCAGCAGGACTTACTCACCCTTCACCAGTCCTGTCTGGCCAGTGCAAAAGCCTGATGGCCAGTGGAGGCTGACAGTGGACTATCGTGGCCTGAACGAGGTGACACCACCACTCAGTGCTGCTGTGCATGCTAGAAACCACCCTACATAAAAGTGAGGATTGGCTTGGGCTATTTCAAGTATTCTTTTCCATTGATCAGTTTGCCGTACTCAGACATTGCTTACTTTCCAATCCTTCATCTCCCAACATGATATCCATTCTGTACACCCTCGATACACCACTTTTGGAGGCCAGTTCCGCACATCATCTAATTCCTCTCTCAACTTAGTGCACCTCTGACCTACACTACATGCCAAATGACACCTTTTCGACTTGCCTCCTCCCTTCAATCAGTCCTTTTCTAATGCCAACACCATTTCTAATGCCCAACTGATACCTCAGTCCTTTTGCCATTCCGGATGGTTCCTCAGAGTGAAGTCAGAGATAAACAAAGCACCTTCACAAAAATGCCAGTGCTATAAGAGAGCGGTCACCATTTGACTCAGGTTCGACAACAACGTCCTTGATCCCCTCACCCTCCTACCCAGGTAGGGAAGGAGAGAGAGAAAAAGAGAGACTTGGGTGGATTGAAAACTAAACTACAGATTTAATTAAACACTAATGATAAAAGAAATTATATACAATTATATACAAATGTGCTCAGATATGTGCAAAAGCCTCTTGCCTGCCCCCAACTCCAGCACCTCCCACAGCATCTCCTGAGTTGCGAACAGTCCTGAAAGATCCCACACCTGCTGGAGAAAGCAGAGAGTGATGAGGGTCAGGAGAGCTGGAGCCTAGGGGTACGTGGGAAGGGATGGACGGAGTCCTCCCTGAACATCGGCCATGGATGGAGGAGAAGGGAAGAAGCAGCAGGAAGGAAGTTGTCTTGTGTGATCTCTGACCTTCCTCTGAGCTCACGTAGCTCTGTGGAATGGAATCTCTCTGGCCAGTTCTGCTGTCTGTCTAACTCAGCCTCCTGCGGGGGGGTCAGAGATCTCCCTGTAGCATCTGAGCTGGCAGAGTTTATTTTTGTTTATTTTTCCCCACAATAAACCGTGTATTCGTAAATTCTAATTGGGGATTGGCTGCTGTTATTGGAAGCACCACTGAGCACTGAGCAACTGTCTCATCCGAAAAGTCAGTGCCAAAGCTCCCTGCTCCTCTGTGAGAGGTGAGTGCCACGTGCGGACCTCTTGGCAGGTCCTAATAAGCTAAACTCACTCCCAAAAAGAGATATAATAGGTCGCAGATCCCGACACCTACCTCTAAAACAACCCCCAAATTGCATCAAACCTCCAGTTGTTTCAGGAAGTGTGTGTGTCCCCATTTTCCAGCCACCACAGGTGGACAATGAAGAGCAGAGAAAAATTCTTGGGTCTCAATCTCCTCAAAGCAGCATCCAAGAAGACTGGCATTTTTCACCTCAAAACGACCCAATCCCACCTTGTTGCCTCTTTTCCTTGTAAATTCCATCACTAACTCTTCCTAAAATGCTCCCTATGCATATTTTCCGCCCTTCAAAAAACACCCTTGGTCCCTCCTGCCACATTCCCTTTGTCCCTTCAGGACAGTCACCATGATAAAGACTGTTTTAATCTCATTTTGGAAATGTGATCTTAGCAATGCCTCTTCATTCTTGGTGAGCCCTGAGGAAAATCGGGCCATGACAGATGAGATCTGCTCTCTGGTAAAACCTCTTCTCACACTGGGAGCAGCTGAAGGGTCATTCACCCATATGGAGTCGTTGATGTTTCCACAAGTGGGAATGGTCACAAAAGCTCTTCTGGCACTGGGAACACATGTAGGGTTTCTCTCCTGTGTGGATGTGTTGATGTTTGTTGAGCACAGAGCTCCAGGCAAAGCTCTTCCCACACTCCAGACACATGAAAGGTCTCTCCTCCATGTGGGTCTGGTGGTGTTTATTTAATGAGGATGTGTGGACAAAGCCCTTCCCACACTCCAGACACTTATAGGGTCTCTCACCCATTTGCAGTTGCTGGTTCTGTGTTATAGGTGATCTGCTGAGAAAATCTGCCCTGCAGTGCTGGCAGTCATAGGACCTATTCTCACCCTGGGAGCAGCCACGGGTCAGTCATCTCTATGCACCTGTTGATGTTTCGATAAGTTGGAGTTGTGTCTGAACCTCTTCTGGCACTTTGGACATATGTAGGGTCTCTCTCCTGTGTGGATGCGTTGATGGCTGATGAGCTTAGAGCTCCAGGCAAAGCTCTTCCCACAGTCAGGACACATGTAGGGACGCTCACCCGTGTGGACCCGGAGGTGACAGTTGAGGTTTGAGCTGCTTGTAAACTTCTTCTTGCACTTGGGACACACGTAGGGTTTTTCTCTCTTGTGGATATGTTGGTGACACATCCAAATGCTGCTCCTACGGAAGCTCTTCCCACACTCCAAACACATATAGGGTCTCTCCCCTGTGTGGGTCTGGTGGTGTTTATTTAATGAGGACTTGTCAGCAAAGCTCTTCCCACACTCTAGACATGTGTAGGGTCGGTCACCCGTGTGGAGCCGCTGATGTTGCCGCAAGTTGGAGCTGCAACTGAAGCTCTTCTGGCACTGGGGACATGTGTAGGGTTTCTCTCCCGTGTGGATGCGTCGATGGCTGATGAGCAAAGAGTTCCAGACAAAGCTCTTCCCACAGTCAGGACACGTGTAG